GCGAGAATAGCGACAGTTTCGCAGACCGCAGCTCCCCAGGGACGGCGAGGTACCGCTCAGGTCCGCGCGGTGCCTCACTCAGCAGGACCCACCAGCAGCCCTCGAAAGTGGCGACAGTTTCGCAGATCGCAGCCCCCCAGGGACGGCGAGGTCCCGCTCATGTCACAGCGGTGCTTCACTCCGCAGGACCCACCAGCTGCTTTCGAAAGTGGCGACCGTTTCGCAGATCGCTCCCCCCCAGGGACGGCGAGGTCCCGCTCAGGTCCGCGCGGTGCCTCACTCCGCAGGACCCACCAGCAGCCCTCGAAAGTGGCGACAGTTTCGCAGATGGCAGCCCCCAAGGAACGGCGAGGTCCCGCTCAGGTCCGCGCGGTGTTTCACCCCGCAGGACCCGCCAGCAGCCTTCGAAAGTGGCGACCGTTTCGAAGATCGCACCCCCCCAGGGACGGCGAGGTCCCGCCCAGATCTGCGCGGTGCCTCACTCCGCAGGACCCACCAGCAGCCTTCAAAATGGCGACAGATCCGCAGATCGCAGCCCCCCAGGGACGGCGAGGTCCCGCGCAGGTCTGCGCGGTGCCACAGTCCGCAGGACCCACCAGCAGCCCTCGAAAGTGGCGACAGTTTCGCAGATCGCAGCCCCCCAGGGACGGCGAGGTCCCGCTCAGGTCCGCGCGGTGCCTCGCTCCACAGGACCCACCAGCAGCCTTCGAAAGTGGCGACAGTTTCGCAGATCGCAGCCCCCCAAGGACGGCGAGGTCTACCTCAGATCTGCGCGGTCACTCCGCAGGACCCACCAGCAAGCAGCTTTCGAAAGTGGCGACAGTGTTGCAGATCGCAGCCCCCCAGCGACGGCGAAGAGAGGGCAGGAGGCGAGAGGAGGCGGGAGGCGGGATAAGGAGGAGAGGCGCTACCACCCCCCTCGATTCAAAACGAATACCCAATCAATGAGGGTTGGGAACAACTGCAGCACAAAAAATACAACAACTCAAGGTATCGCAACGTCAGTTTTCTATTCAGCGCGCGCTCGTGCCCTTGCGCGCTCTTAAGAAACAACAAGTTTATATCATTTTCATGGAATCCTGCCAAATGGGCCTCTGGCGCCACATGCCGACATCATTCGCGCGCCCTTGCGCGCGTGCTGGGGGGGGCGCGATCCGTGTCAAATAAGATTGCGCGGGCCACTCGCGCGTCGGCCGCGCGCGCACGTCGAACTCTTCCAAAACCTTCATCACCGACGCGTGGGCGCCGCCATCGTCGACGGCGCAATCAGCATGGGCGCCCGCGCTGGCCGCGCCGTCGTCGTTGTCAACGTCACCGGCGTCGCTATTATCATCGTCGTGTCTATCGTTGTCGATGTTGCCATGATACCGCGCCCGCCCATTTCGCCGACTCGCAGTGAAGTGCCAGGTCGGGATGCGCCCAGCGGTCAGCGCCACCGCGGCCGCGCCAGTCGCGCCAAACTAGCTGGCCGCTGCCGGCGCGATTGGGTTGGCGCGGCCGCAGAGATGGAGCAGCTAACGCCGAGCACTCATCGCTATCGCCACCGCGTGGGTTTTGCAGGCCAAGTGCGGGTGGGCGGGTGGGCGGGCGGGATGTTTGCAAGAGCGTGGGATGTGCAAGCTCGGTTGTTCACTTCAATTTCTGTTCTTTCTTTTTTTGTGAAAACAAATCCCCCCCGGTTTTATCGATATTTTACATGTGATTCTGCCCCATCTCCCATCCTATATATATATATATATATATATATATGAATTCGTGCCATCCCAGCCAGGCCGGTATCGACCCCCCCGCCATCTTCTGCAACCCATCTTGTGTGCGCACATTCGTTTACCCAGAATCATCAGGTTTCAAGAGTCCCTTGCAAAAAAATCGAGCCGGAGTGCGCACGCGCGCGCCGTCGCGCGCGCGTGCCGAAATCCTTCAAAAACGCGTGCTGTCGGAAGGATGTTAAAATCGAGTGTCCAAAGAAAATAAACAAACATGGTTTCGTAACGCGGATCTTCAAATATGCGTGCGCGCGCTCTTGTTTTTTTTGGTTTTAAAAAAGGTGTTCAACATGTTCCGAAAATGCTACCAAACGGGCTTCGCGTGCGCGCACATCGAAATCGTTCGAACGCCTTCGCGCGATAATATTTTGCAGCAGAGCGGGGCGAAATGCACGCGCGCGCGCGTCGTCGCGCGCGCATGCCGATACTCGTCAAAAAACAAGGGGTTCTGTAGCGATTTCAAAACCGAGCGTCCAAAAAACATTCAAAAACACAAGGCTTCGCAACGCCAGTTTTCAAAAACAGCTTGCGCGCACGCTTTTGCGAATTCTTGAGACAACCTTAGGTATTCCAGCATCTTCATGGAATTCTGCCAAACGAGCCTCTGGCGCCGCATGCCGACAACATTCTCGCGCCTTTGCGCGCGTGCTGGGGGGCACGATCCGTGTCAAATGCAACCATGCGGGCCACTCTCGCGCGTCGGCCGCGCGCGCATGTCGAATTCTTTCCTAAACTTTCATCGCCGACGCGAGGACGCCGTCATCGTCGTCGGCGTGATCAGCACCGGCGCCCGCACTGGCCGCGGTTTCGTCGGTACGATCATCGTCACCAGCATCGCCACTATCATCATCGCGTCTACAATAGTCGGCGTTGCCACGATACCGCGCCCGTCCAAGCCCGCTGGAATGCGCCCAGCGGTCGGCGCCACCGCGGCCGCGCCGGACGCGCCAAACTAGCTGGCCGCTGCGCACGCGTGCTAGGGTTGGCGCGGCCGCAGAGATGGACCAGCGAACGCCACGCATGCATCGCAATCGCCACCGCATTGGTTTTGCAAACCAAGTTGCGGGTGGGTGGGTGGGATCTTTGCAAGAGCATGGGATGTGTCAACTCATAGGTAAAAGTCAATTGCAACACGTAGATTGCACCGCGTAGACTGCAAGAATAGGGCTTGGGGTCCACGCTGGCTAACACGGGGTTTTTACTTAGCTTCTATGGTAACTGAGCTCCAGTGCTGGTCCGGCTGGCTCGTTGCCGCCCGCCGCCGCCCGTCGCCCCCGTCGCTGTTGGGCCCCCGTGCCGCGCGTCGCCGATCGTCGCCGCCATCGCCGCTGGGCCCGAGTGACGGTCCAGCCACCTCGTTGCCGCTCGTCGCCGCCTGTCGCCGCCGTTGCCGTTGCATTGCAATCGCGTTGCAATCGTATTGCGCTGCTTTGCATCACTTTGCATTCCTGCGGCCGGAAGCGCAACGTATACGACTTTCTCACCTTTTCGCCACATGGCAAAAGCACCCCTGACGTGCACGGCTTTCTTTCTTCTGCATTGCTTTGGATTGCTCTGATTTTTATATAAAAAATCGTTTTGTATCAATTTGCGTTGCTTTGCCTCGCATTGCACTGCTCTGCAGTGTGTTGTGTTGCGTTGCGTTGTGTTTGCGCTGCTCTGCATTGCTTTACATTGTCTTGCGTTGCATTACTTTGCTTTGCGTTGCTTTGTTTTGCTCTGCGTTACGTTACGTTGGTTGACAATGCTTTCTGCGTTAGCAAGTGCAGTGCAACGTCGGAAATGTTTTGCGTTGTTGCGAAAGGCTTAGCATTTGCAGTGCATTGCGTTGCATTGCTTTGCATTGTGTGGCATTACTTTGCATTGCTTTGCATTGTTTTGCATTGCGTTGCATTGCAATGCAAAGGCTTTGCGTTGCATTGCGTTGATTTGCACTGCTGTGTATTAATTCGCATTGTTTTGCAGTTCATGGCATCGCTTTGTATCGCTTTGCACTGCGTTGCATCGGTTGGAGTTGCTATGGCCTTGCGTTGCTTTGCGTTGCTTCGCGTTTCTTGACATAGCTTTCTGCTTTGCAAGTGCAGTGGGGTAGCATTGAGCATCATTGCTTCGCATTGCTTTGCATTGCTTCACAACGCTTAGCATTTGCATTGCGTTGCATGGCTTCGCATTGTTTTGCGCTGTATTGCATGTATTGGCATTGCGTTGCATTACATTGCAATTGCATTGCGATCAACTGCATTGTTTTGCAGTGTTTTTCATTGCTCCGCGTTGTATTGCGTTGCACTGCATTGCATGGCTTTGCATTGCTTTTCACTGCTTTGCATTACATTGTGAAGAGTTGCTTTGCATTGGTTCGCATTGCCTTGCCTTGTGTAGCATTGCTTTCCCTTGCGTTGCTGTTTCTTTACGTTCGTTTGCATTGCTCTTCGGTGATTTGCATTGCTCTGTAATGCTTTACACGTCTCTGCATTGCTTTGCATTGCTTTGCATTGCTTTGCATTGCTTTGCATGGCTCTGCATTGCTTTACATTACTTTGCACTGTGTCGGTTGCATCACATGGATTGCACCACCTAGATTGCACCAAGTTGATTGCACCACCTGGATTGCACTGCATATCTTGCAAGAACTCGCAGTTTTGGGTCAACGCTTGCTAACATGTAATGATTTCTTTCGTGGACCACCCGGGTACTGCGGGAAAGGCCAAGGGCACCTGCGACGCCTCGGATGGCTGTGGCAGATGCGGTGCCCGCCGCAAGTGGGTGCGCGGGGGCCCAGCGACGTAATTATCAGGGGGGCGAGATTCACCGCGTCAAGGATGCGGCGGTTCGGGCCTATGGCGATTCCTCGTTCGCCGGACGAATGGCCTGGGGCGCGCGATCCTGCGCGGCCGCGGCAAGCGATTCCTGCTCGCACCAGCCAGCTTTCGAGCGCGACGACTAGGTCTGCAGTGGCGGCGGAGGCCGACAGCATCGGTGAGGCGATGGGGTGCGGCCGGTTCTGGAGGTAGTTCCCGCGCGAGATGCGCCCCCCTGGCCCTTGGCGACGCGACGCTCAAGGTGGTCGAGGTGGAGTCGGCGAAGAGGAAGGACGCTCATCGCGGTCCAGGACAGCGACAACCTTTAGGCCTCGGTCAACGGCGACGGCGGCACCCACGCCGAACAGCATTTGCGTTCCGAGTGCATGCCGAGCCGCATGAGAACGCCGCGCTCACCTGGGCGGGAACGGATGCCATGGCCGCGGACGGCCTCCCGAAGCCCTCAGCGTCGACGGTCCTGCTGCCAGCCATGTCCGGTTCAAGGGTTACGCAATGCAGCCATCGCGAGCTGGCAGTTCTGGAGATTCTTGTGCTGGCGGCAGGCAGCGCGGCAAAGGGGCGAGCGGTTATCCTGGCCATATCGATAGCGACAGTACTTCTGACGACGGCAGTGGACGTGGGCATAGCTAAGGCTAGCACCAATGTCAGAATCGACGACGACGACGACGACATAATCGGGTTCGTGGTCCTGGCGCTGCTCCAAGTCCTTGGCATCCTGCTCGTGGCGGTGGCCCATCTTGCGTGGCAGGTGGGGAGTCTGTTCGGATTCACGGGGCATGTTGCTGTCGAAGCGCCGCCAGCCGCGTCCGCGGAGGACGAGATGGACATCGACGACGGCGCGGTGGCGCCGACCACTACGGTGGAGCCCAACGTCGACAGAGCAAGGAATTTGAGCGCTCGCAAGAGGCCGAGAGCGTGGGACTCCACGCGCCAGGTGGAGCAGCTCCACTTGATGGAGGTCAGCTTCAGCGAAATCGCGAAGATCCTCAAGCGGCGGGCCTGACTGGCATGCCAGTCATCGTCGAGGTCGGAGAGGAACTCTTCAGGTACTGTAGCTCGGACAGTAAGCAGATATCGCGCCAGGGCGAGATGAGCGCGGCATCGGCTCGGAAGTGGCATGCTGGCATGTTGCTGCGAGCCGGATCGTCCGCATGCAGGCCGTCGCAGGCGCCCAGGCGCCTTGGCGCCGACGGCAGAGAGTCAGAGAGTGTGCGGCACGGGATCATGCCAATCCGTGAGTGATACGATACAGGCCTACAGCATGTATTGGAGAATCCAGCTGCGTATGATTATGCCTGCCTTCGCGTGCGCGATCGAGAAAGGCATTGTCGTTTGCTGCTGCGCTTTTTTCCCGAGGGAGGGCCCAAACCCCCTCGGCGCACTGGGAAGTTGTCAGCTGGTGGAGATACAGCTGCTGTCCTCATTTCCATCTAGCTCGGTTTCGATTGCTTTGCGCCTCGCTTGCCGCCGCCGTTGTGACCCTGCGCGTTCGGCCACCAGGACCCTCGACCAAACTTCGCTCGGCCCTCAGCGAGGGCCCGCACACAGCGGGCCGTGCTGGCCCCGACCCGCGCCGCGCGCTGGTCAGAACACGTTGCTTCACGTTCCGCCGGTGGCGCAGCTCCGCCAGGGAGGCGTATGGCGAGTGCTCTCCTCGTCCGCTTTCCCGCCCTCTTCCCGCCCGCCTCCTCGCTTGCTTCTGCATTGGCCACTCGCCTCCTACGCGCCGCGCCTGGGACGGGAGTGCAGTGGGTAAGAAAGTGGCCCTGCCTGTCTTGTCGCAGCAGCGCTCTCTCATTTGCCTTCTGTCGAGCCCCCCATTCTTGCACTGGAGCGCAGGCATTGGGGGCTGGGACAGAGCCTCGCGCGCAAACGTGCGCGCGCATGCGTGTCCCAATGCGTTCCAATGTCCCCCTCCCCCCGCCACGCCGCGAAAAAAGTAGCGCTCTTCGTCGGCCTCGTTTTATCCTTCTTGCTCTTTCCTGGGTCACGGTGGCGTCGTTGCAGGCGAACCAAGTCTGGGTAGTCGACTCTGGTTTCTACCCCTTCCTCCCTCATCCCTCTTTTCCTCCCCGCAGTCATTTACTAAATGTGAACAGTTTCCCCTCTCCCCTGATTATGAGCAGCAGCGATTCCTCTCTCGCATATTGTTTTCACACATTGTTAGTTTGGAGCGTTCTCCTTCAAACACGTTGCTTCCGCTGCAGTGTTGGCCACACGTCAGGATCGGAGTTTTGCTCCCGTCGTTCAGAGGAGCGCTCTCGCCCCAGCGCGAGCCATACTTCTGGATCGGATTGCGTCTTCGTCGTTGCCAGGTCACATCCTTTCTCATTATTCGCATCTCCCTGGTCCCTTGTTCTCCCCGCTCCTCCTGCTAGTACTCCACCTGCGGCCGCTCTTCCCCGGCTTCCCTCATTCTCCGCGTTTCTTTCTGGCCATCCTCCGGCTCATCCGCCACCTCATCCCATAGACAATGCAACTATGCCTTTTTCGCCCATTACACGATGGGGGCACTGGGGAAATGGATGTCTTGTAGGACACCCCAGTCGGCGGATAGAAACTACTTCAGCGCAATGGGAAGAGATGTGCTGGGTCCGATGTCAGACCTGGCGCGAGCACGCCAAGCTTGCCCTTCCCCGCTCCCTGTTCCCTCGGCCCATCTGCCCCCAGCTGTCCCTCGCTGCTCCCATCCCCCGCCTCCTACCCCTACTCCCTCTGCTCTTCACCTCGTCCTCACCGCCCGCGCTTATCCCTGGCCTGACCTGCGTCTCTCCGCAGCGCCGCCTCGCACCGCCAGTGGTTTCACCGTACTTTCACTCAGTGCCGGCGGCCTGATTGGCCCCCCTGGCCAAGGGCTGGAGGGAGCTTGCGGGACCCGTTCGGCGCCGTGCGGATTGCCTGCCGCACTACGGCTCGGGCTGGAAGCCCTTGTCGACAGCGGCGCCGCTGGAAAGAAGAAAAGAAAGGCGCCCCAGCGGACAGGAAGAGACAGGCGGAGGACGAGGAGGAGGGACAGGAGGAGGAGGACAGAGGAGGGGGAGGAGGAGGAGGAGGAGGAGGAGGAGGAGGAGGAGGAGGAGGCGGGGAGCCAGGGTGTGTCAACGTGCATCTTCAAGGTCTTATTATCTAACCAAGTGCACTGGTTTCGAGCTCGTTCAATGTTTCGGCCGCCACCTCCGCAATGTGGTGCAATTGCATTAAAGGGCGCGTTGTGAACAACCCTGCGCTGCATCAGCCAGTTCATTTCGAGCCTAGGTATGTTCATGCACGAAGGCCTCCAGTTTCGCCACTGCGTCATGGTTCCATCTTTGCCGCCAACTATGTTGCCCATCATGCAAACGAGGATCGGCGCCTCGTGGAGTACAGCGTGAAGAGCTCCGAGTTTGGGGGCCTGCAGGCCTTCATTTCCATCCTGCCCACCCCCTCCCCCGTCCTTCCCCTGTCTTTTCCACCTCCCGCAACCCCTTCCCTTACCTCGCGAATTGAGGTAACAGGGAATCTGGAGAATTAAATTTTCATGTTGAAATAAAGAACACTCTTGGCTTGGGACGGGCTTCCATTTCTGAGCCGTTTATCGGGTCAGCGTCAAGGAACCTGCTCTGCGCAGGGTTGACTGTGGCAATACAAGCCCCTCGTCAGGTTCTGTATGTCAAGGCGTCGACTGTAGTCATGGGCGTCTGTGGCTTGTACAAGGCGGGTCTGCAGGCCTCCGTCTTCGCGCGATGCCACTTCTTCTGTTTGCCTGGTGGGCTGAAATTCTCAGCCACCGCTCCGCAGCCGATCGCCGATCTTCTGCCGGCTGAGAGGCCCCAGACAGAGCTCTGTCCACAATCGGAATCGATCGACCGTTCTGGCCTCGATCGTCTCGATCGACCCGGTCCAGTGCACTGCTGGTCTGCCAGGCTCGTCTCTCCGTTGCGTGCAGGGGCCCCGCGTCTTGGATTCGGCTCGCGTGTCAAGGGCTGAGCCATCGGCGACTCTCCCCCTCTGATCTCGCTTCATCCATCGAGCGCGACACGTTTGGCAGACCACGTCGTTCCCCGCATTGGGAAATTATTTTCGGTTTCCGTTCGAGTCGTCCGTGACGCGCGTGAGGGCGAGGAGAAGCTGCGCGGGCGCGCGACGGGCGGCCAGTCTCTCGAAGCTAGGCCTAGTTATCGGGCAAGAAGTCCCTTGGTGGCGACGCGGCGTGGCGTGGTGTGCCCGCTGGTGACTTCGGGCTGACCCGCGGCGGTCCCGTGGTTGTCCCGTGGTGGCTCGTTGTTTTCACGTGGTTGTCCAGCGGTCGTCCAGTGGTTGTCGCTATGGGGTACATAGAAAGTTGGAGAGTTGTTATTCGTACAGGGGTCTTACAGGGGGCACAACTATAGCATAAAAAAGGCATACCATACATGCAGAGACAAAGACGGGAGAAAGAGAGAGAGAGAGATAAGAGAAAACAAAAACGAGAAAGAGGGACGGAGAGAGAGAGAGAGAGAGAGAGAGAGAGGAAGAGGGAGGGAGAGAGATAGAGAGACAGAGAGAGAGAGAGAGAGCGAGAGAGCGAGAGAGCGAGAGATCAAGAGAGAGAGGGAGAGAGGGATAGAGATAGAGAGATCGTGAATACGATGTGGATCCAATGCGAATCAGAATGCGCCAGCCGCCCCTCCCACTACATCGCCCGATACCTGCTGGCTTGTCTTACAGGTGGCGAGACTCTTCGAGAGCGCTGCCGACGAGCCGTGGTCAAGACCCACCGTCGGGCATCCCCCTTGTTCGAGGAGCGGCTCGGAGCAGGTTCGCAGATCGCGGCGGGCCCTTGCCAGGCGGTGTCCCCCGACACCGTGGTCGAGCAGGAGGCGAGGCCTACTGGTTGCATCTGGTACCCGTTTGGTGGCAAAGGCGACAACCAGAAGGCGCCCCCGCCCAGCCTCCCCGCCGTTCTTCCTCGCCCGTCCTTGCACCAGGTTCGTTTGCTCGTGGTCTTATCATCCGCGCTGTTCGTCGACTATTCGGGGCGCCTCGCGGCGCGACACCTCCCGCATCCCTCGGGTGTAAGGCGCGCCAGCCCAGAGAGAGGGCACGGCGGGCGCTTCAGCGACTCCAGGGCGGCTCGCGGGGAGAGCTTCCAGGAGTTCTCGGGGGGCCCTTCTGGGGGCCTCTGGGGATCCCCTCAGTTGTCTCCAGGAGGTGTCAAAGCGGACCCAGGGGGTTCTGGGTAGAAATCACAGAGTCCCGCAGGTGCCCCTGGGAAATCCCCGGTGCCCGGAGGGGGGTGCAGTGGGCCTCTAGGTTTCAAGGCCTTTAGGAGCCTGAGGGACCGTCCAAGTTCCAAGGCTTCCAAGTGCTTCCAAGGGCTTCCAGGGGCTCGAGGAAGAGCCGAGGTGGCCCTCCAGCAAGGGCCAATTATTCAATCGCCCCCGCGACTCATGCCTGAACCCCCCACCCACCCCGGCCGAAGTTGTTTTTTTCCTCCGCGGGGAGTCCACCTTCGCGGCGATCCGTGAAACCTGGGACCCTTGGCGGCGCATGGAATTTTGTCATAATTTCCGCGCGCGTATTGCCACTTGAGCCCTTGAACCCCTCCGGCTAGAGTACACCTAGCACTTGAGTGCAATTGGCACCATCATGTGCTAGCGCGCAGCTGGTCTTAGAGTGCACCTGGTCCTGCAGTGCAATTAATATTATAAACTTGCGATTGTGAGATGTATGGGAACCGTGACTTCGGAATTAGGAAACACTATAGGATCGCAACTTGGGAGCACGGAAGCAGAAAAGAATCGCGATGACGGAAGAAGTTGACAGTATGCACAGTCATAATTATCGGTTTCGGAAATAGGACGCGCTGTAGTGTGCAAGTGATACTCGTACAATTCCTGAGTACAACTACTATACGAGTGATGCCGCATTACTTTCATAATCTGGGCTCTCGCGCTTTTCTTCTTCTGGTTGCGTCGGGGGGGCGGGACCCCGCGCGCCAGCACCCCCGCGGCTGAGAGTTCACTCCTCTTCCGGACTTGTTGGCAGGGGTAACCCCCGTGCCCGAACCCTTTGCCAAGGATTTTTTCCTTCCACAGAAAAGGGACCCCCTGGGTTCCTCGGCGCGCCCTGGGAATGCTTTCCTTTCAGATGGCCTCCCATGGGTCTTATGTTGGAGTCGCCCGGGTGATGTTATTCTCTGGGGTCCCAGGAGCCTCCAGCCAGTGGCCCGAGGGAGGAGGTGAGATGGGCCGCTGTGCGGCCAGGGCGTGTGTTCTGATCCTTCGTGGCATTCGGCTACTCCTTACGTTCTGGCACAAGGAATGCCTTTGGTTCGCTTCTAAGCTATTACTGAACCGCTTCGCTCATTTCGCCGACCCATAATTGCGCGCTGTTGTCGACTGACCGAGTGGTCTTTCGCGGTGCGGAGCTGTAGGGGCGGCGGCTGTTTTTATCAGGGCTTGCGTTCGGCATGTGGGGGGTCATGCAGCTCCTGTAGAGCAGCTTCTTGGCGATCTGTTTGGAGCGTCTGGGGAGGTGTCGGGACGATCGTCATTGTTCATTTGGCTTGTAAGTGGTTGCTGCTTTGTGGGGCATCAGGTGGTTGCGTGGGGGGTTCGATTCACCAGCACGGCAGACCAGCGTGGCAGGCCATCACCATGAACCGGCTTTGGCAGGGGGTGGTGATGATAATCATTGTTGAACTCCTCCATACCGGAGCTGCGTTCGAAGAGCCTTCGGCCCATCCCGCCATATTGTGCGTGGTTTGTGGGTGAGAGTCTTCAGGGATGCTTCTTGGGTTTAGGGTTTCTTGTTCCTTCGGAAACGCATAGGGAATTATGTATTCTTGCTTACGGGGGCTCTCTCGGGAGGTTTCTTGGTGGCCGCTGGGGGAGTCTTGAACGCGTCGCGGGCCGTCTGGAAGCGTTTTGTCTATGGGGACTCTTTCGGGAGGCCTCTCGGTGGCCTCTTGGG